CTAGTTGTATCTTCATTGTAACTGTAATAACTAATAATTACTAATAAAAAGTCCCCAGGCCAAGGAGGTCACCTTAAAAAAAAAAAAAAAAAAAAAATATATATATATATATATTTAATTTTATTTGTTACAATATGAGTAGGTGTTGTATCTAGTAAATCTTCATTAGCTTGTTTTACAAGTACTTGCAACCTTTGTTTAATATAATTTGGAGTTCGTCTAGAAGGCAGTGGTGGGTGTTTATGTAACCCTTTACATATTAAAATTACAAATAGATATGCTTTGAGGTCTAATGATATAATTTTATAAAATTTAACTTTACATAATTTTTTTTTAATCAGATCATAGTATATTTTGTTTTCTGATCGATGAAAATAAGCTAATAATAAATAACAAAAAAAATTAATATTTTAATATATTTTTATTTTATACTATTCATGGTTTGATATTTACAGCAATATTTTTTTTAAAGGAATTAGAAAATACAATATAGTATTTATTTGTAAATCTTTTATTAATATAATTAGGCTATAAATAATTAAAGATAAATTACTATATATAGATCAATAAATAAATAAATAAATAACAAAAACTATATATCATACCTGTGGTGTTCAATACTACAAAAATTTTGTTTATAAGCTGCAGTGTAATAAAATAATTTTTATCTAAACAAAAATAAAATTTTGATTAAGATTAGGGTTAGAGTTAAAAGCTAGAATGGAGTAGGGCTTAGTTTATACCAAAATTTTGCAAAAAATTTTTTTTGTTAGAACTCAAAAGGTGGTTTCATAAATGAAATTTTGAGCTATACTTTTTTTTTTTAAAAAAAAACAAAAAATCTACATTACACCTGATTTTTATATTACATTGCAGCTTATAATAAAACTTATTGTGGTATTAAATACCAGTAGTGTGATTTAACAATGCCAATACCCGCATTCGGACCTTTTCTTTTTCTATTATTTCCTTATTAGTCTATTTCTTACTTCTAACCTATGACCCAGAAGATTCGACCTTGGCTTGGCATTAGGTGCCTGGTGCTCTTGTCTAATCTTGGTACATGATTTCATAGCACATGTCCTTTTCCTCCAATTTGGTTGGCTGATTCTCTGGACATGCCTAGCATTTTTCTGTCTGACTGGTTTCCCGCCCAACTTCCATAGCCCCTGATCTTGGTGGGTAAGGCCCCCACCACTAGTTTCCCACACTAGCTGGCCAGGGTTGGTGTACTCTGTAATGGCCTCACAGATTTTTAGCTTTTCTAAATTGGCAGTCAGGTTGGTAAATCCCCTACTAAAGGATCTTGTTGTCGTTCGGTTCTCCAATCTCGGTCCTAACTTCCAAATTCAGGTTTTTCCTGTAGCACTATCGAAGATTGTAGTTATTCCTTACTCGGGTCTTCCCAAATGGGTTTCGATCATCCCAGTTTCTTGGCATTTCTACACCAAAGCTCCCATTCTAGATAGTGCAACCAAGATTATAGATTTCTAGATCCAACCAATTGATGGACAATCATTACCTAATGCAAATCTATTTTTCGAAAAACATCATCTGTGGGATTCGAACTCTAGACCTGCCACTTGGTGAGGTAATGACTAGACAACTTCACTAAGCCGCCACACCCTATTATATATATTTTTATAATATTATTTAATTAATATATTTTATATATTTTATTTTAGGCAATTTAATTAGAACCTATTTTGGTGTTGATAATTTATATGAAGTTCATATATCATTTAATAATATAGATAAACTATGACGATGTAGAAATAAAATTCAAAAGGAAAAATATTCTTTTGGTCAAGATTTATTAGGAGTTATATATAAACTTTTCTTGATATTAATAACTTTCAGGACTATATTTAACAATTAAGTAAGTATTAAAATATTATTTTTTAAAATTCAAATTTTAACTATTTAATTTATTTGCTTTAGATTTTTTTACTGATGAACATATAATGATTATTTGTATTACTCAAGATCAAATACAAAATAGATTAAATGTAATTACTTTAAAATTGACTATTATTTAAAAGAGTCACTGGTAAAATAAATGAATTCAAAATAAATTATTATAATAAACAGTATAATATAAGTAAGTATTTTTTAATATATATAGTATAAATTAAATTTTATAATGTATATTAATTAAATTATTTTATATATTAGTTTTAACTTTGCCTGTGTTTTTACAAACCATGTAACTACTATTATATATTAACATATATTTAAAGCATTATTCGATCTTGTTAAACAATTTATTAGTGAATCACCAAAGTTTAATCACATTCATGGAAAAGAATAGCATTGCATTATTGGTGATCTTGATATGGCACAACTTACTGGATTAGGCAAAGCTTTAACCTTAATTGATAGCTCCTTTACATGTGAGGACTATTTAGTTCATATTTTCAAATCTTGCCAAGTTAATTATAAATAATAAATTAATAATAATAATGGTACATATATATCCCTTAAACCGTCCCAATAAGGCATTCAAATTTGAACTCTAAATATAAATAGAGCTCTGTAAAAAAGTTATTTTGCCAAATTTTTATTCTAATTGGCTACAGAGACTCTCAAAGAATCAAGCCACAAATCATAGCTGCAGTGCGATGACCCAAACAAAGTGCACAAACTCACGTGATAGCTATAAATTTAAGTGTCTAAATATGGACGCTTGACGGTTTAAGGAATAGTATTTATTAAATATATATCAATAATCTATATTTATAAAAAATTATATGAAAAAAGATTTGATAATAATATTAAATCTAAAATAGAATTATTGTTAACTGTGAAAGTTAAAGAAGTAGATTTGATATTTAATAAACTATTACTGCTTGATAAAGATCTTACAGGTAAGTTTTTATAAATAATGATAATTAATACATCATTTTTTAAATAATCTAATTAAATTTTTTATTAAAATAAATTAGGTTCAATATTATAAAAAACCTTATATTATCACATCACTTAATCCAAATATTTCAAAAATTTTACATAATTCATGGTATAAAGCTCCTAATAATACAAATTGTGCAGAAGCAATACATGCCATGAGTAATCAAGAAGGCAAGCAATATTTTTTTTTTAATATTAAAGGTGAGACCTTGCTCTTATCTTTATTAGGTTTAACAGAAAATATTTCTATAACTAGAAAGACTTTTATACTAAAAACCTATTACTAAGAGTAAGAACTCAGTCATATATTCAAATAAGTTACTACCTAAAAGGCAAGCAATATTAAGGTATGCTTATATTAATATATTATAATATATGTATTTTTTTTATATATATTATTATTTATTTTTTTTATTCTAGAAAACAAAAATTAGATATGCGCAATTTTAAAAAAATGAATATAAGAGCCAATTACAATGTTAATTTGAGTGGTCAAGATAAAGATAGCATTGCAAGAAAAAAATTAACAATTAAGCAAAGCAGTTAGTTTTTTTATTTATAGTAATATAAAGTTTATTGATATTTATTAATAATATTTATTTTATATACTAATAGCTAAAAGATAATCTACTAGTTCTTCAACAAAAAGATAAAATAAAAAATGCTAAATAACACAAGCAATCGATTTAACTGCTAATACATTTCAAGAATCTCAAAAAATAAACTTAAATAATAACAAATCTAAAGAATTTATGATAGAAAAATTAGAATATAAAGAGCGCTTGTTAATAATTGCAAAATGCAAAGAAAAATTGAGAGATCTAATACTATAAAAGAGCATGAATATAGTCTTAGAAACCCTAAAAAATAAATATTCTTATATATAAGAATAAATAAAAATACTTGATTTGATATTGTAATATTATGTATAAATATTTAAAGTAAAATCCTGCAATATACAGTACTTATCGATTTGAAAATATATATTTTTTGCAATTTACTCAATATAACTATCACTATTGTATTATAAATATCAATTATTTCTCTTTAATTTTATTATTACCACTGTATTATGCATGATCTATTGTTAATTAATTATATAAATTTTTTAAAAATTAATTATTGTATATTATGCAAACAAGCCACCTTTATAACTGATAAAATTTTTAAAATATAAAATAGTATACAAACTAATATAATCAACTTAAATTTTTATAAATATATATGTATATTATATACTTTTCTTAAAAAAAATTTAGTATACATATATATATATTATATGCTTTTTTTAAAAAGGTTAATATACATATATGTATACTATATGCTTTTCTTTTTTTTATTAGCCTATGCAATGTCTTTTGTGCCATTAAACTTATGATTATAAACAATACCTTTTTTATATAAGATGTAAAAAGTGATACCATAAGCCTGCATATAACACACTTGTATATACATATATATGTTGCAAACTTAATTAAATTAATTTTGTATTATAAAATCAAAATACTAAAAAATTAATTATATTTTTGTATTTTTAATAATTATTTAATAATTATTGTAGTTTTCAAAGCCAATAATGTATATACAAGTTTATTTAAACTATGTACGTATACATACAATATAAAGAATTATTTTAGATCATATTGATTTAATTGTTTTTAATTTGAACCTTTTGTACATTTGTAATTAATAACTTTATTTAAAAATAACTTTGCCAATATTTTTTTATATCTTTAGAATCATTAAGACAAATATTTGCAAGATGTGTTTCAATTTTTGCAGAATGTCCATAGTTTCAATACTTTAGACAATAATAGCAAATCGCAATATGATCGTTAATATCATTACTTGTTATATAATAATCCCAAATTTTTCTTTTGGGTGATCTGCACTTTTTTAGTTTAGCAGTTTATTTTGTTTTTCCAAATACATATTACTTTTGGTTTAAAGATAAATTTGTAGAAGCTAGTTCATCGATTATATTAATAGAAACAAGTTCGAAGAGATTTTAATAATAAAATTATTTTTGATTTTTATTATACGTATATAAATAGTAATAGCTTAAATTAGTTATACAATTTTTTCATAAATAGTGATACCTTAAATTAGTCCTATGATTTTTTCATAAATAGTGATAGCTTAAATTGATCATACAATTTATCAATACATAACAAAAACTATTATTGAATTATTGCAATTTTCGTAAATATGTAATTTTTGAATCAATAATAAGTTTTTTGTAATTAAATTATTTTTGCATTTAATACTATAATTAAGTTTACAATACTAGTACATATATACACAAATAGAAAATATAACAGGAAACCCTTGTTTATCTTAATATTATTTGTTGAATATATTGATTATCTTTAAATACACTTATTTTTACTATTACAAAATAATCAAGTTCACAAATCTTTACTATTAAGGTAGAAACTTTAAAAATTAAATTTGAAATAACAAATATCAAATTAATAAAATAAAATAAAATAAAATAAACATGCTCTCTTTGAAGTATTAATCGAAAGACTTGTATGATAATATGTGATATTATATAACAATACAACATAGCAATGCAATAATTTTTTTTTTTTTTTGCAACAATGATTTATATATTTATTTTTGATTTTGGATCAAAATCCTGTACCACAGATTATCAAAAGAAAATAGCTAGTGCTGGCTAACTTTGTTAATATTATGTTCTTTTGGAAATCTGATTTTTCAGGATTTTGACTCAAATTCATATTTTTTAAATAACGATTTATTGATTTTTAGTGGGTTAATAACAATAGTTCAAATTTTTTAATAACTATGATTTTGCAAACATGTAATTTTCAGTATCAAAAGTCATTGAATAAAAAAATTAGTTTATATTAGGGTTTGAGTATAAGTTAGAGTTAAAAGGAGCTATATGTGGCAAAATTGCACAATGAAGATTTTTTGTTAAAACAAAAAGGTTGGTTTATTAGTCTATAATTGCAATTTTTTGCAAAGCAAAATTTTTATGCTACGCCTGATTTTGATTTTTAATTGGCTAATCAATATCAGAAAATCATGTGTTCAGAAAATCGTTCCTATGCCCTGGTGTTTGTTATGTTTTTAGTAATTGCAATAATTACCAAGCAACAAAAAAGAACTGTATTTTTCACAGTACAGTAGTAAGATCAAATACTTAAATTGAAAAGTGACTAGTTTTTGCTACATTCAGTTATTTTATATTTGTTGTATATGTTTAAATAAAATTTGTATCATTGATTATTTTTATACACGTTATTTTACAGTAGCCCCCAAAAGTAACGCCTGATGTTTTTTTTATAGTAAAACATATAAAAAATTGAAATTTACTAATCACATTAAAAAAAGGATTAATCAATTTATAACTGTAGATTACAATAACTTTTTTGTAACCATAACTAAAATCAGGTGTAATGTGAATATCAAAACAATATTTTTTTATAAATAAGCTCTTGCAGTTAAAGGTTAGAGTTAGGGTGATATTATAGTTGAAGCAAAATATAGTTTATATTAAAATTTAGCAAGAAATTTTTTTTGTTAGAATGTAAAAGATGGTTTCATAATCAAATTTTTAAGTTATTAATAATTTTTTTAATTGTTTTGATTTCATGTTATACCTAAACTTAAAATTTAATTGGCTTTATTGGATGTGATTATAGTAACCGCAGTTACAAATTTATTAACTCTTAAAAAAAATTTATTAATAAAAAAATATTAACATTTATATATTATATAAATTCAATATTTGTATTCTATAATATATGAGTTTTAATAGCCTAAACAAATTGGATTGATGTTTTTAAAAATTATGAAGTTTATGATTTAAAATCTTATATATAAAAACATACAAAATTTGTAGAATTAACTTCAAAATTAAATATAAAATTTTAAAATTTTTTTTAAAAAATTTAACTACAATTATTAATAGTATTGCTATTATATTTTAAGAGCAAAAATAATTAATTGTACACTCCCCTGACAAAAGTTACTGGCTAATGATCATTTTTGGAAGTAATCTGCAAATTAAAGGATTTGTTAAAAATTAATTTTTTTTTTTTTTTTTTGGTATTAAAGTAAGGTCTTGCTCATATTTTTATTAAATAATTTATATAAATAGTTATATAGAAACTATATAAAAACTTAATTTGTATACAAACAAATAAATATAAATTATATACAAGAATAAAAGCTTAGACTGATTAATCCACGACCTAAACCTACTAGAGTAGTCAAAACTCATCTAGATTTGGATAATTAAGATATAATTAATAGGTGTACTATATTTGATCTACATAGTGGATCAAATATTGTATTTAAGAGAAGCTTGTTCTAGTAGTGGGCATGTATTAGATTCCAAATATAAGTGGTCAGTAAAACTACAAGAGCAACTATAAGTGTAATTAATTCTATTTCTGTGATTTTTAGAAGGTAGTAAAGTGTGGAGTATGGTATTAATTCTGATAAGATTTGGTAAGCTCTTTTCCAATAAGAAAAGTGAGACCAGTAGGAAATTCAAATATTATTATAAAGTTGGTTAGAGATTTTTAAAAGTGTTTTGATAATAAGTTAGAATGCTTGTAAATAAGAAATTTCAAAAAGGTTTAAAGATTGAATTAGAGCAATAGATATAAGACCTTTTAGTGTAGAGTATAGAAAGTAGGGGTATAGCTGTAATAAAGAGGAGTTAAAAGCAGGATATGAGGTGATAGTATGTATTAAGTTATTAAGTTGGTATATTAGAAGATTAAGATTAGTATTAAAGATAATATTATATATTGAGATATTAATAGCTTGGGTTAAAGAGGTGTTGTCAGAGCAGGAGTACCAGTGGAAAAAGGTATTAGAGCAGTTGCATAAAAAGCAGTTAGAGGATATAAATATAGAGGGGTATATAGAGTAAATATATGTATATGTTAGGAGGATATTAAGAAGCATTTTGATTTAAAAAGATTTTAGATAGTTTAGTTTAGAGTTTGTGAAGTTGTATGATACTTTTTGGTTGTTATTAAAATATAGTCATAAGGCTTTCTAGTTAATTAAATATGAGAAGTGTGACTATTCATGAGCATAATGTTGTAAGAACTACACAGCAATATTTTAGGTATTGTGAATTGATTTAATAAATTGTTTAGTGAGGCTTTTGATAAAGCTTTTAATCTATTGCAAAATAGAGAAAGGGTTATACAGATTAGTATAATTAAAATATAGAGTTGGTGAGGTTAAATAGCTATTTGCAAGTAAGTTAGCAAGATTGTTAAAAGGGTTGTTAGAATGGGCTTGGACTTTGTAGAAAGTGCATTGGATATTAAAAGACTTGAGAATATTAAGAAGTGTATACCAGATAGCCTAGGCATTAAATTTAAACTGTTTTGAAGACTGTGATAAAGCTTGGAGTTTGTTGTATTTAGAAATAACAGATTGTGAGTTAGTAAAGATATCGATAGTTGAGTTGCGAAGGAATGTAGAAATAGCTAATAGTATTGTGAGTAGTTCTGCTTTATATGAAAAGGCCAGTTAGAAATTTGAGCAGAGAAGCTATAAGTAACTTTGTTATTGTCAACTTGGACCCAGCCAACATCTATTAAATATTGGTTAGTGCCAAGTTACAGTATATGACAAAACTATTAATATAGAAGGTAAAATAATATTGAAAAAAGTTTGATAATAAGATCATAGTAAGTTTTGCAGAGGCATCACTATTGTAAAAGATAGCAGAAATAGGAGAGTCAGTTATGTTAATATTAATAGTAGAAGGTGAAGATAAATTGGTAGGATGTTTTATTTTAGTGAAATGAATAAGATCAATATAGTTGGTAGTGCTCGGCACAATCAAACAAAATTTGACAGTCAAATACTTGTTAATACTTTTGTTTAAATCGGATGTCAACTGATTGCAGATTAACAAAAGCTAAATGCAGACTATTGGTTAATCTGCAATCATTTGATATCTGACCTAATCACAAGTATTAACAAGTATTTAACTGTCAAATTTTTGTTTGATTGTGCTGAGCACTAATAGTTGGTATTGAAGTTGAGTTGTTTATTAGTGTTTTTCTTCTTAAAAAATAGATAGAAAGAATGGTAGATACTTCTAGAGTACAGCAGCTAAATATGCAATTTGAGTTGAGATTGCAACCTTCACAGAAGGTGTAGAAGATAGGAGATAGAAGTTAATAATAGGAAGTAGAGGTATCAATATTATGTTGCTAGAGTGTTATGAATATAGTGTTAGTATGAGTGTATGTTTTGTGAATTTGTCTAATAATAATATCTTTATTGTGAAAAGTTAAAACCCAGGGTTTGTGAGATTTGGAAAGAATGTTAGTTTGGTAGGCAAATCAGTTAATATCTGTAGGTTGAAAATAGGGTAAAATAGTGTGGTAATAGTTGTTTTTTAAGAATAGTATCTTCTAGATAAGTAAACCAAAGTGGTTTTTTGCCAGTTGAAATGTGTAGGAGTCTGGAAGATAGATATGACCAATCAAGAAGGGTATTGTTATCCCATAAGCAAAGTTGCTCAAGATATAGTATGTTTTTATACCTAAGATGTTGTTTAAAAGTGTTGTATTTGGGGTGGTTTGATAGATTATTTTTAAGAGAAGTATTACTGTTGTTTATAGTTTAAGGCCAGGATGAGTTAGAGAATGCATGTATTAAGATCTGGAGATAGTTGAGAAGTTGTATAATTTGAAATGTAGTAGAATGCTTATTGGGACTATCAATAATAAAATGAGAATATTAAAGAATATTGGTAGTAGACCAAAGATTATTTTGTAGC